TGAAATAAAAAAATGAGTTTCGTATCAGAAAGGTAAATTTATGAAGAACAGTTCTACATTAGAACCGTATAAAATTGCTATATTTTTATTGGCGCCAAAGATGCTTAGTTAATTTTTGTAATAGGTACAAATTGAAGTAAAATATTAAATTTTGCAATGAAAGCTAGAATGAAACATAAAAATAATGCTTATTCGTATATGAAAACTGTATGAAATTGCCATATTGTTACTGGCGCCAATGTTGCTAAATTAATTTTGGCAATAGGTACAAACTGAAATTTAAAAAAAGTAATAAATAAGTTTTGTACTGAAAAGGTAAATTGGTGAATAAATGTTACCCATTATTTGTTTATTTTTACCATTACTTTTATAAAATTGTTTTATTAAAATGCTTGTAAAGAAAAAATAACATGTCCTAATAATAATTTTGTTATAATGAAAAAGATACGAACATCAATCATGGTATGATAGCCCAGGGTGTGCCGAAGCCTTCCTAACTAGGTGTTTCCAGTCACTTTTACAGGCAGCCATACTCTTTCATTTTAAATAATTGCATAAGTACTTTGCCTCGATTAAAAAATAAATTCAAGAGCTAAAATCAACAATGAAATATCGATTTCCTCTGAAAAACATTTTCGAAGCTTATTTTCACTCTTTTGCGTTTTTATTTCCACAATCGGCGTTTATATTCAGGTTGCGCATTCACTAAATCAAATCAAGAACTAGATTAGATGCAGGCTTCTTTCTTCTACTTTCTTCATTCATGAACTATTAATGATCTTTAAGACAAATAAATATATTTTCAGAATAATTAATAGTCTTTCGTTGATTAATATGTATACATTTGCTAAGAAAATTTATTCATTAAGGTGTAAAATAATCATAGCAATATAAATAAATTTTTTGCTAGTTTTTAAAGTTTTTACAAACTAGTGCAAGATCTGATGCTTTTGCACTAGTTTTATAAACTAGTGCAAAAACATGATATTGGACAAAATTTTCGAAATTGACTTTATTATAAATTTAGAATCCCTGTAGTCATAGCTTTCTAAAAATACTTTGCTTTTGTTTGTACTATAATTATTTACGAAGTTATAGCAGTTTTTGTTCAAGATGATAATAGTGGATAGACTAGTTATTTTAAGTCTTTAATTGCGTTTATCTCAAAATCAGGCTTTTCTTTCACATTTTACACCACTTTAGGCATGATATCTCATGTTGTTTTTAATAATTGTCTACAATTTTCCATGAGTGTTTATGAATGTAGCACACATGCTTTGAATTGCGGACTAAGATAAAAAAGTAGAATATCGTTTTTTGTGCATGTTTTTCGCAAAGACAAGTGCGAAAATTTTTAAAAATTTGCTTTATTAGCTACATTTATCCCTAACTCAGTAGTATATTCATTTGCTTTTAATATAATAGTTCAAAACATGGTTGATAGCCTTCTAAATAAAATCCACAAAAGATTTTTGTTTTGGGTGATAGAATTTTTCTACAGTGTTTAGTGTATATGCAAAAAATGCCTTATTTTTACCTGAAAAGGACCATTTAAAAAATAATAATATAAATACTTTTTTCTACTAGTTTTATAAGTTTTTTACACATAATAAAACAAATGAACTAGTTTTTTAAAATTGCAAGAACTAAAGATGGAAAAGAGCCGCGATGGCTCAGATAGAGCATTTGCATTCAAATGAGGTGAACCGATTTCGAATCCCAGAGATGGCTGGTCAATGCGAATTCCGCATCCGGCACGCACCTACCACAGTGCAGACATAAAATATCCTCAGTGGTAGACGAATGATGGGTTAGAGTCTCCTTGCTGTCAGGCTAACCGTGGAAAGTTTTGTTGGTTTTTCTCTCCATGTGACGCAAATGCGGGTTAGTTCCATGAAAAAGTCCTCCACGAAGGCAAACTTTCTCCCAATACTTGATCCAGGACTTCCCTTGTCTTCTGGATTGGGTTCAAAATGACAAGACTACGGAGTTAGCAGTCGTAAACCCCAAATTGAGTCGCCTGCTCAACTGCAGTTATAAAATTCCATATGCTTACGTTATAAAGTAACAATACACATCCCTTGTTTTTTCCTTTAACTTTGACTTTTATCGTAATAATCTAACTTTAGGATTAAATTCATGTAAATTAATGTCTTTGCTCAAAATATACGTTTACATTCATCTCATAAAATTAAGTAGAGTGTTTTTTAAGAATGTTTTCTATTTTCCTACTGCAGCCAAAACTCTTTACCTATGAAACTCTCCATAGAAATTTTTTCCAATTCCTTTTTTGCTGTACTTAATTCAAAACTTAAACACGTTACATTTGTCATTTTTTTTTATTAATATTTTTTTTTGTTGCCTTTTAAAATTTTTTTGAAAACCCACTTGACAGCAAAAATAAGCAAATCATAACTCCCCCCTCTGTTAAGCCCATGCGTAATATTTGAAATCCCCAAATGAAGGCTACTTAATATTGACAGGGATCACTAATTAGAAACTGATATTCTAGGCTACTTCTACGTGAAAATGTTTATTTCAAAATGTTTGCCATTTTATTGGTGACCAAATTTGGAAAAACATTCAAAGTAAGAACATTCGAACATATTCGAAAAAACATTCATTTAATTTTATATTAATAAGTATTGTTTAATACAGTTTATTTCTCTTTTTTTATTTAAAAATGGTAAGAGTTAAAATTATTTCCGTATACTATTATCAAGCGGAAAAAATTTCTTCGAAGCTTTATTAGAGGTCTAGTGCTTTGGACACAAAAGATTCTTAAAGAATATTATCGACTCAAAAATTTATAAATAAATTAAAAACGTAAATTTTGTTTTATTCACCGTTACATCTTTTTGTTTGAATCTAATTCCAGAACTAGATTACTACAGTAAATGCCAGAGTTAACGCAAAAATTAAGGAGGAGGGGATTTGCATCTTTCTTACGTAAGCATAAGTGGGTGTTTGTGATTTGCTTATTTTTGCTGACTGTGGGGAGGGTGAGTTCAAAATAGCCAAAAATATGCTTACGTAACCAAGTTTTTATTATTAACGTCCTTTTATAATAATTCATTAAATTAATTGGTTGAAGGTTATGTTTGTCTATCCTTTGATGATTCTTTCTATAGATTTTCTCACCAAGTAGTTGATATAGTAGTTGAAGGTTGTGTTTTCCTACTTTTTGCTAACTGTTCGTTAAATAGTCACGAAAATTTTTTAAAAAAAACTGTCTTAATTAACGCTTTTTCTTAAAGATATTTTGCTAAAAAAAGTGTTGGTATTGCAGTTAAACCTGTTTGCTCTTTTTTTAAAAAATTTTTTCTCAAAAGGTGGTTAAAAATTTAAAAAAATTCTAACTGCGAAAATGCAAATCATATTATTTTCCCTACAAGGTATTTGTTAATCTAATTAATCTCCAAAATGCAACTACTTTAATTATTTTATATACTATTATTTTATAATTTTATTGTTAAAAACGTTACACTTGGATAAAACTGACGAAAAATTGGAACAAAAATGAACTGCTTAAAGAGAAATGGGAAATTGTTTTAGTAGTAGTATAGTATGCTGAATTTAATTAATTTCAATATAATTATTGCAATATATATCTAAAATAATTAATTTTCCCTAACAACTTCTATTATTACTTTTCTAAATTTCAGAAACTTTTTTGCTAGAATTTAATTGCTAACAAAAATATTTTTACAAAATGCGCAAGTTAGAATAGATGAGGAAGATAAATGGAATTTATTTTTCGGCAGTTGGATGGTATGATGAAAAGTATTAATTCTAATATAATTATTGTTATAAATCCAATATAATTAATTCTCTATATATAATTTCTCACAATATTTTATTTATTTCAAAATTTTCTTACGCTGGTCATCAGTCAATAACAAAACAAATTTGTTAAAGAAAAATAAGATATTTAGTTAGATGATTAAAAAGAAATGGGACTTAATTTTTTGTAAATTGGATGGTATAGGGAATGTAATTAACGCCAAGTTCATTATTGTAATATATCAAAAATAATTACTTTTTTAAATAGATTTTCTTCTACTATTTTTTTTATTTTAAAAACTTCTTACACTGGGCATCAATCAATGGCAAAAAAATTTCTTAAAAAAAGGGAAAAAGAAGGAAAAGAAAACTATTTAAAATAGAGAAAAAAGAAAATTAGAACTTATATTTTGACTATTGGACGCTATGCGGAATAATTCCAATATATTGTAATAAATTGAAAAATATTCTAATATATATTATTATTTAATATATATTTTATTTACTTCAAAAACTTCTTACACTGAAATAAATCAATATCAAAACATTTTCTTAAAAAAAAAAATGTATTTAGAAAAGATGATAAAAAGAAATGGGACTTAATTTTTGGAAATTTTATGGTATAGGGAATGTAATTAATGCCAATATCATTATTTGAATGCTCCAAAAATAATTCATTTTTCAAATGATTTTCTTCAATTATTTCATTTATTTCAAAGACATCTTACGCTGGACATCAATCAATGACAAAACATTTTCTTTAAAAAAATTATTTAGAATAGATGATAAAAAGAAATGGGACTTAATTTTTCGAAATTGGAAGTAATTAATGCCAATATCATTATTCTAATATTCCGAAAATAATTAATTTTTTAAATAGATTTTCTTCTACTATTTCATTTATTTCAAAAACTTCTTACGCTGGACATCAATCAATGACGAAACATTTTCTTAAAAAGAGGAAAAGAAAACTATTTAAAATAGATGAAAAAGAGAATTAGAACATATATCTTGGCTGTTGGACGATAAGCTGAATAATGCCAATATAATTATCGTAACAAATTTAAAAATATTTAAATTTATACGTATATTGAAAAATATATAAATTGAAAAATATTGAAATAACTTCTTCTAACATTTCATTTATTTTTAACTCTAAAACTTGAATTAAATCAACAGCAAAGAAATGTTCTTTAGAATTGATCAGAAAGAAATACCTGGCAGTTGGATGGTATGCTGATAACAGTCTTCAACAGTTGGTTTATACGTACTACAGAACATATCGTTCAAGAAACGAACTACAAGACTCGTTTTCCCCACTCCACCTGCCCCTAAAACAACAAACTTACTTTCTCTCATCTACGATATATTTTTAATCCATGGAAATATCCTTTTTAACCTGGACAAAACAGTTGCCGTACCCAGAATTCATAAGTATATCATCTTCCCCCACGTGAAGCCGCGTGTTTCATCCCGGGCCGATGAGAAGGTTATTCTAGTCGCCAAAGATTGGTCGCCAACCCTCGCATTCATCGATGAATGAAAGAGATTTCATTAACTAGTCTCTCTTTCCAAATTTTTTTAAAAAAAAATCAATGGACTGCAAAATCTCTGTCAGACGTCAAGATCAATGGCCACATAATAATAGTTGTTTAATCTTATATAATTTACAGTTGTACGGATTTTTTGGATTGTATGAAGAATGATTGAAGCATATTATAGGAAAATAAATTTGTAGAGTGTTTCATAAAGACTATATTCAGGTCAGACCTCTTTTTAACGAAGTCGCCAAATCCCGATTATAAGTTCGTTGTATGGAAAATTCGTTAAATAGAAAATCAACTTTTGAAATACTTAAACAGCACGAACCAGGTTTTAAGTTCATTAACCCTAGACAAAATTAAAATAGCAATTGGTACACCGTTATCTTGCAAACTTGTATCTACTATTTATTTTATAGGTCTTAACCATAAAAGAAATCTACATGAAAAGCAAGAATAGAACAAAACATTACTCAGTGTTACACTATCATGCTACATACATTTTCAACTTAAAAAAAGCTACATTTATGTATAAAATTATACCTGCATTTATTATAAAAGTAATTTTAAACGTACATTACCACATGCGTTAATAATTGCTACTGATAAAATCCGTTAATTTTGTCTGATATTTTTGTTTGAAATTTAAACAAAAGGGGAAAGGGATTTTACTGCTTTCTCTAAACGTTAAGTGGCTTTGAAAATCAATATCCCCATAAAATGCGCTCACAAGCTTGAAATGTTCCGAAATATTTTGGGAAATAGGAAAAGTAGATCTCAAAGAAAAGTTCGTTAAATAGAAAACTCACTTCGCTATTTGGAAGTTATTTTACGAAAAAATTTCCAAACATTTCTTGGTTCCTCGAAAAAAATCGCAAAATGGAAGTTCGTTAAATAGTAGTCCGACTGTATTCTAGGAATCCTTATCAGTAAATATGTAGCGAGGGTGTTTCGTAAATGAGAAAAAAAATTTTTATCGAAATCTGACAACCCACAACTAAGAATGGCGGGAAAACTCAGAATTACTAAAGCATCAAAACCTGTTTTATTGCCGAAGGAAAGAAAGGGGAGGTGAAAGACGATGATTAGAAACAACTTCAAGGATTCAATCTGCATTAACCCAGGTTTTGACATTCTCTTTCACTTCCTTAATTGTGATTTTTTCGGATCATGATAATGTTTATGTTATTTCCTCCCTTAAATATTAATTTGCGATCCCCGGTGTGTGTGCTTTATGTCATTACTTTTGATAATGAATTACATCAGGGTAGACGTACGTTAAGAGCAACATAAACAAAACATATGTAAAGATAAAACATACATTAAGGGTGGCGTTTACGAAACCCTCTGTACATTCGAAGTAATAATAAATTCAAAGCAGCATTACTTCTGGTTGTCGAACTTATTTCACGAAAGTATTCCAAACAAAGCACTGAAATTTTTCTAAACAATTGGGAACAAGAAACCTAAAAATTAATTGAAAAATAAATATGTGCTTAATTGTATTTCTATGGATATAGTTTGCATATGGTTCTTAACATGAGACATTCTCTGAAAAATTGCGAATGTAACACTTATTCTGATGTTCATTATCCAATACGCAAGCGTATCTTCGATAAAGTTCTCGCTAAAATATTAATTTGCCTTTTCTACAATGAATATTTATTTATTTATTGTTTTGAAATCACTGTGAGATTATCATTGTTTGAAGGCCCTCTTTAACTTGTCAATTAAACACCTTTCAATTAATCGAATAACAGATAATTAGAAGAAATTGTGGTCGCAGCATCCAAGTATCTTAAATATTAAATAAGCTTAAAATATATTTATCTTATTAATTTTAAGATGTATAAAGCATTCTTTCCCAAAGAGCCATCAAAACTCAAGATTCCAATTAAAACATTATTTTTTGAAGTTAATGGGTAATAATTCTTAGAAAAATACTCATTAAGAAAAATACAATTTGCGAAGAAAATCGGAGAAAATTTTGCTCGATTACGACTGCAGTTTGTTATAAATTGTTAGATTCTTAGGTTAATGGGAAAAAGAAGTTTTTTGATCGTATGAAAATTATTTAGGCAAATAGTTATAATTATGTTAACAGGGATATGACTCGAATGAATATTATGAAAATTATTTAAATTATAACTGATCACTAAGGCCCGGATTTTGATGACATTTGCATTTTTTTGCATTTTTGGACATTTTTTATCCTTTAGAGCATTTTTTTAGATTTATAGGGCATTTTCTTTAAATTTTGGGGCGTATTTTGCATTTTAAAGCATTTTTTAAATTTTTTGTTAATTTTTTCTAATTTTTATTATTTTTTATAATTTTTTATTATTACACTGGCTTCCAAACAATGAAGAAAATCTCTAGGATATTAACAGGTGAAGCAACATCTTTTCAAATTGAAGAAGAATTGTCAGTAAGTGTGACCGTCCTTTTCAAGTACGCACCAATAACATCAGTAGACGTTGAAAGAAGCTTCTCCTGGTATAAAAATTTGCTTTCAGACAAGAGACGCTCGTTTACATTTCAAAATATTAAAAAAAAAATTAATAATCCACTGTAATTCTGATATTTAGTAATATTATGAGATGGAAGTTGTTATATTCATTTAAGTTTCTATACAAAATGAAAATGTTTTGGAGTCAATATATTTTCCTTTTTTTTTTTTTTTTAGGATATAAAACATATTTTTCAAACTTTAATGAACGTAGAACAAGTATTGCATTGCTTTATATTTTTTGAAACGACTCATAATAATTTTAAAGAGTAAAACATTGTTTTAGTTCAATATTTTTACTTCTATTTAAGTCATGTCATAAGGCATTTTTAGCGCAATTTTCGCATTTTAAGGGCATTTTTTGCACTTTTAAGGGCATTTTTTGCAGTTTGTAAGGGCATTTTTGCACTTTTTAAGGGCATTAATTGAGATTTTTTAGGTTATCAAAATCCGGGCTCTACTGATCAACAAACTTGATTCTTTTAAACGTTTTTATTAAAAAAAAATGCACAAAAATTTATTACTGCTTAATTAAATATTAATAAATTATTTAGATATTAATAAATTTTTCCTTAAGTTAAGTTCCAAAACCAAATTTGCTTATCTAAGGAAAAAAATTATTAAAACAAATATGAGTTAATGGGTAATGGTAATTGGGCATACAAAAAGGAATTTGTTACTGTTCTTTTTTTTTCTTTTGCTCATAGCTATGTATTAATGAGTCTTCTTCCGATAAAATGTTTGTGCATGTAAGATTATGTGCTTAAAGATATTAGGGAGTAGTCTTTTTTCTTAAATTAGTTTTGCACAATTTCAATATTTTTTTAAGTATAAATGAATCTCTCAGAAAACTACGGTGTCGGATTCAATCATCATTACCTAGCAGTGGTCCGAAAAGCTACATTAATTTTGTAATTTGCTACGACTACAACTACTTTGTTACAATAGTTAACTACAACGACTTTTTTTAAATGTAGTCACTACAAACTACTTCAGAAATGTAGCAACTAGCTCACTACTTTAAAGAGACGAACTTAGCTGGAGAACTTAATTTGCACCTGTGTTCAAAATGGTTTTGAATAATAAATTGGCTTACATTAAATGACAGGCAAAAATTAAGAAATATTTTTTTATATTTACATGAATCAGATTGTTTATTCAAAACATTGTTTTTCGAATTCATTCATTTAACCTTCAACTTCTTATGCCTTTCTCGACAGCGACTATTTAATTTAGGAAATGCGAAATTAACCAATTATTCAATACGTTTTAATTATTTATTGCTTTTATATTCCCCGAAGAAATCAGATACATCGAAAATATGTTCCCTTCCTTTAAAGTAACATCAATGCTTTACGAGTGTACATTCGAATGTAAAAGTTTGACCAACATGATTATGTATCTATTTTTCATAATATGCATACTTTTCATACTTTTCATAATTTTTAAATATTAGTTATACATGATTCTGAATACGTCATTCTTGTTAGCGGTCAAGGGTCATTTTCATTCCGTCCATTGACGGACCCGCGAAGATTTCTACTCATCCAATTCGAAAAAATTAGTCGCGTTAGAGCATTGATTCTTTTCTAATCTAACGTTGAAAGTAGTTTCCAGGAATCGCTACTAACTACTGTTTTTTTTTTATCGTACTACTCACTGCGCTACTTTTTTAAAAAAGTAGCCCACTACACTACAAACTACGAAAAAAAAGTAGCCCACTACACTACAAACTACGAAAAAAAGTAGCCCACTACACTACAAACTACGAAAAAAAGTAGCCCACTACACTACAAACTACGAAAAAAAGTAGCCCACTACACTACAAACTACGAAAAAAAGTA